TATATATATATATAATTTGCTCTAAACGCGATATACCAACACTTAATGAGCTGCGTGCGTCTTCGCGAGTTCCTAACCAGTTCACTTGGTTTTTTAATTCTCTTTGAAGCCCACCAAACGAACATGTGAAATTTCAGATGATGATTCGTTTGTGCTGTGAATCCCTGGCGTTCTAAGATACACCATAGTTTCTAAACGTTTTTTGTTTGTTTTCAAATCCCGTTCGTACGTCAGCTTTCGAGTGGTCACAGAAAAAACATTGTTTGCGATGCCTGAGACTGCCATTGGTTTGTTTCCAGATGTCGGTGGTGGGTTCTTCCTACCTCGGCTTCCTTGCCCCGGGTTAGGCCCTTTCTTGGCTCTTACCGGTCATCGTCTTCAGGGTCTGGAGGTTCTCTGGGCCGGGGTGGCAACGCACTACAAACCTACAGCAGAAGTAAATCTCGTTGGATTTTTACTCGTTTTTATTTGTGTATTGTAATGGATATGTTGTTTGTTTTACCACCACGATGCTTTGACTTTATCTGTCAAGACAAAAATTATTTTGTGTATTTTGGCTAAACGGGTTTCATACGCATGCAAATTTAACACTCTGCATCTGTGCTGTGCACCTTACAGCCGTACTTGTCCTGTTTCGGAATAGTCACGTGGTAGTAACGTGATCAAACAGATTTTATTGTAACTCCTGATATGAGAACTCTTTGTGCCTTAAACTATACTTTTTAGGGACATCTTTTATTCTCGATTGTTTTGGAGTCTTACTGCGCTGTTAATAACAGCCCCATCCTAGATTAATTTGAATCCTGATTCTTGAAGGGCCGTGTTATAGCTCAGAACTCGGACTACGAGTGCCGCTAATTTGGCACTAGGTCCCATGGCGGGTTTTTACTCTTCTAACGTATTACCACCGTGTAGCACACCAATAGGACAAAGTTACTAGTCACGAAATAGTAAAACTTGTGGTACACTTTCGCCTCGTTAGAAAGTTGTCGACTGACCAGAGGAATCAATTGGTCAAGTTACCGTCGGTCATCTGCTCGGACCATAAGACCATGGAGATTTATTCGTCGAACGATTGAAGGAATTAAACTGTAGAATGGGTTGCTTGACCGCGAACTGGTACTACTCCTACTCACATGCATACAAAATCGAAGATTTTTGGAGTATCAAGCATGGATTAGCTCATTCGATTGTTAAGACGCACCAAGCACTCTTGATGGTCTTCGGTGTGGGTTTCACTCCTTGGGCGATCGTTAATTCCCCACAAGGTGAATACATTCAAATGCTATGGAAATGTTTGACGAATCCCAAACAGGACAAAACAGGTGTTCAGTGCTGTTTTTCGGTCAGCACCAACATTTCCATCGCATACATCCATTATGTATTATATGTAACCCTATCGACTATTCCAGTGTATGCACAATCGTGATGCGTCCACAACTGCCTTTGGAATACTTCTCATTTTGGATGTGTGTTAGTCAAAACTAAAAGTTTACTCATACAACTTCACATGCACGTCAACACACACACCTGCAGACACAAATCATTGAAGCCGATCTAGTTGCACCATATATACACTTGTTTATTCCAAAATAATGTGATTTTACGTTCCGCACACCAACCACTCCAGGTTCGCTCTCTGCATTAGTTCCATCCTAATCTTATTGAGTCTATGTTTCACCACTAGTTTTTCATATCTCTACTCTTCANTCATTCACTCGTCTGCCGTCGCGTCTCGCTCCTCATGCTCGCACAGATTGAAGCACTCAGAAAAACGTTGGTAAACTTAGAATTTCCGCCAGCCAAAAACAAGACGGATTTGATTGCAATCGACGGGACCATCAGAAAAATCTTGGACACTCCGGGAATTAAACCCTGCACTCCGGAATCACTCAGTTCACATTTGAACACAATGGCCAACATTTTCTCGCTGTTTCGTGCAAACGAACCCGTCACAATGGAGGATATAATGGACAAGCTTTCTGCCTGTGCACGGGACAATAGTGACAGTCAGGTTTGGGCAGAGAATTGTTTAGAAAAACTGAAAGTCATGTCTCCCACCTCACTTAAGGTAAGAATATGTATATAGTTTATTTTTAGCTTTTGTTTAAATACTGTCTCGATTATTTCTTTTTGCAATCTCTTAGCCAAGCGCAATTTTGTGATTTCTCCAGCTTGCCTGGTGGTGAGTAGGTTGAACTCAGTTTAAGTTTTGCAGTTGACAAAAATTCCGGGGTTTGTGAAGGCAAAGGCGGTGATGGCCCGGTGGTAACGTCACCAAATTATCACTCCGGAGGGGGGGGGGGGGNCCTAATTTTCTTCATTGTGTGTTGCATGGTGCCCTTTGATTGGCCGCTTTCCCCTTCCCGAAAATTGTATCGTTGTGTATTTAATAAAAAGAATGAAAAATGAAAAAAGGGAACACGTTTCGGTTAACTGATGTGAATTAGTCATCTTCTCGGTTCACAAGAAAGGATTTAAATCTTCTTGTGAATAACAGAGAAATTAGGTTGATAGACATTATTTCAAAGCCTCTCGCTGAGATTACACACCGTCGATTATCTGCCGCATAACTGAGAATTAGGTTGGTTTTAGATCTGATCCAAGTACATCCATTCTACTTTCACCCTTCGACAAATTCTTGAACACCAAAAGTTATTCCCTCAGATCCACCAGTTCTATCTATTTTGTTTCCTATCTTCCTAAATCTAAAACCGTCCTCCGACTCTGTCGACCGCGTTGTTTTCCGGCCCGAGAAGTTTATTCCCACTTTTGAACGCGACCAGCCTAAGCCGCGTTCTACCATACGGATCTTCCACGTCCTCGGTTCTGTCCCCACGGTTGGGTTTTGACTATCACGCACAGGCTGTAAACAATACATTAACCCGTTTGTTCCCGGAATAAACCAATTCCAGAGAAATGCTACCGAACAAAACACCCATTCCAGTGTTCCATGCAACTCCGAAATCTGTTTCCCCCCTGAGGATTCTAATTATTGCATTCTTTTTATTCAGTAAAACAACTGGATACGTAATGCCGTGTTAAGACGCAGAGCATTAGGTAATCGTGATCACACATTGGAATAAGTGTTCAGTTGTCATAGATTGTTGGATCATGTGTTGCGCGGATCACCCGATTGGCTTTCTCGTCGTGTGATGCTCAAAGTGAGTAGAAGATTGATAAGGATGTACAGAACAAGACCTAGCATGTGGGTATGAAAACTGATCGGGGGCTTTTGCTCACGGCGATTGCATTAGACTTTTGGGGTTGGGACATTGGGATCAGATTAATCGATGGTTAGAGACGCTGATTGCTATGCTTAAGTGTCTTAAGCAGCGGTGCCCGTACATCGACTCATTCCCTACCCCAGTCTTGCTCGCTTGCTCTCCATCTCTTAAACTTAAACTCTTTCATTTACTCTTTCCTCCGTGGTCAACGGGTAACGGGTAACTCAGAGGTAGCAATCGAAACCGTCGCACGACAGTGCAAAGTTAACGGTTGTGAAAACTGACCTAAACATACAGTTGGATACTTCTGGACCTGAACCTAGCTTTCGGTTTCCACTGTATCATTTTTTATTGGGTATCAAAGGGAACGGTTTTGGGTATTGATCTGCAAGCGTCCGGTTGACAGAAATTATGCGTAACTGTCATTTGTTGCGGAAATTTGGATCACAAATCCACTCGAATCGGGCATCGGAAGTAGAACGGATGTTGGCCCAAGTAGGGTAGGTAGACAGGTCGGAATTCAATGCACTACACTGTCTGGTCTTTAGGGATGCACCTGAAAGGAACCGTCTTGTCAGTATTCTTTAGCACTCCAATCAAGCGAAAATAATCATTATCTGTCTACGTTCCGAAGTATGAGGACCTCAAAACATTCCTATTGTCACATCTGATGCTGACTATGGTGTCGGAATCCATTGCGCATAGTGGAATAGTTCAGTTCATTAGGGAGAAATTTTTTCCTAACGTACACCAGACTGAACAAACATTAACATGAACAATCATTTCTTTGTTCGCAGACTGGTGATTACATGGTTTGAAAAAAAACGAGAGAAAATTGTATTATTATTGTATATAAAATCCACCNATCCACCTGTCGACCAGTCAGGTCATCCCTCTTGGTATTGTGTTATACCTTATGGTCCACGAAGTTCGACTCACTCTACTCGTCTCTCTTTCGTAAACACCCTCTGGGTTGAATTGTTATTTAAATCACTTTTTCTCTGATACACACGTACTGAATTAATTATTTGGATGAATCCGAGGCTGTTTGCAGTACGTTCCGTTTGTGAAAAGATCAGAAGCCCTAATTAGATTCTAACCTATGCACGGGCGCTGACTCATGTCATAGAATGTTTGCTCCATCGACTAATCTATGAGGTCACACTGGTAGCTCTGATGTTTTTTTTACCTTTGGTTATTTATATTTACACGTTTTAGTTCAGGCTGTGCCAAACAAATCGCAGTCCAATATGGACATACCAAACAACATGTAAACGGACTGATTTTTACAGGCTTACTCGTAGGTAAACTTTCTGTGTCGTGGTCAGTCAGTCGGTCGGTGTACGGCATCTTTTGATCTGAATTGTAAAAAGTTGAATCGCTAATCCCCGATACACACTTTCTAAAACGATTTTTACCTGCACATGCTTCTTGTTTTTTATCGAGAACAATTTACTCAAATTCGTGTTCGTATCTTGCGTACATTAAATGAATGACGTGCCTGGTTTATCGGTTTTAATACAGGCAATTCATTTTTGAGATATACAGTTAGTTGACCTGATGTCTGGTACAACAATCAATTCGCTCCTGTTCTCAATCTGGAGCAACATACACCCCGCGAGTTTTGTGTCTAATGGGTCACTCCTGTCATTTAGTACGGTTGCAAAGACGTTGGTTGAATGTTGTATGTTCAGTGAAATTCACTGTTTGTTCACATGTTTGCCGTTGCGACCTTGGTTTATGGCGGCAGCACCGTTAAGAGATAGAAATTCCGGTGTCACGTCTATCGTTTTAACCCGCCCCGTCACAAGTGTATCGAAGTATCACTATGTAACTGGAGGTGGCCTACATATAGGCAAGTTATGTAAGTTGGTACGTCGGTTAATCAGGCGTTGTACTCTCCACTAAGTCCAGAGAAAAGATTAATGTCTACTACCCACTTACTCTTCACTTTTATGCGACCACTTCCTACTCGAGGATTTGTCGGCTTCTTGGATGTATCGGATTGCGACTGTCCATGCATTGCGATCCGCAGAGAGCACAGAAATCCCCTATTCATAATGTGCTTTATACCAAGAGAAAACATTTTTCCCTCGATTGTGTTCCGATGTTTGGAGTTTGACTGTCGCTCACAGGCTGCGCACAACACATCAACCAATCTACCGTGAATAGGCCGATTCCAGAGAAAGCAAAGCACTCATTCCAGTGTTCTATGTTAATGCAAAATCGGTCCCCACTCCCAGCCCTGATGATTCCAATTATTGCATTTGTTTTATCTGGTCTGTATATGAACGTATCCGTCTCCAATATTCCCATTTATATCCAGGTCACTTTGCGTCAATTGCAACTGGGCTCAGCGCTCTCGTTTGTAGACAACTTCAAAATGGAATTCCGTCTTTCTCAACGATTTGTCCGCGGTCACGATTTCCCCGAAGGTGTTCGAGCCGTGCTGGTGGACAAGGATAAAAAACCCAAATGGATTCCAAACAGTCTGGATCAGGTTACCTTGGACACAGTTGACAGATACTTTGAACCGCTCACCGATATCCCCGAATGGGAGCCCTGATCGATGAGACACACGCTAGTGCTTCTGGATTTGTACACACGAACACAATGCGTGTTTGCATTTCCTTGTTTTGTTTTTTCTCTCTTTTTTATACTTCAAATCAGTCCATTTATTCCCACGAATACTGCCTCAGTGATGCGAACGCCAAAATGCCAAGTGCTAATACGGACAGATCATTTCCTTCGTGTAGTTTTGATGTTGTTCTTCTTACTTTTTTTTTTTAGATCATTTGTCTTTCTTTTATTCATAATGTTTTATCCATACAACTCATGATCACTTTGAGTGTTCGTTGGTTTTTCCCCAATCTATCTGACTGGTTCCAGTAGCAACGATCAAATTTAGCGTGCTGTAGGACACTTCATAAATAGGCCACATCGTGGTCCGCGGTGTTTGTCTAATTGGATTGTTTTCCCGTTTACCTCGATTATTTTTAAATCATCAGACATGGACCGTGTGGAGTAGCTTGTGAGGTATCTCTGTGTCCACGCCATAGACCACAAAGTAATTCCCGCATCTCAAAAAAGAAACCTTTGACTTTGGGCAGTTAGCACGAATAGAACAGTCCGACGGCAGTGATTGTTAGGCAATATCGGTGCGACTCTAGCTGGCTGCACCATGGATACCATGAAAGAGGTGGTCGTGCCGTGTGGATTGAACGTTTTGTTTATGTGGTTCGTTAAAACGTATAATACATACTGATTTGGTTTTTTGACTGTTCATTTAAGTCACCAGTGTTTGTTCTCTATTCACCTTCATAGGACTCGTCGCTGAGGGAACACTAGCGTCTCACCCAAAAAGTTGACCTCGTCTTTCATTTACACCTCCCTCTCTCCAGTGATCTCAAATGGATTACTGTACTGTGAGCTCATGGAAGGTTGTTTTTCTCACTGTGAACACGGTGGAGTCAGATTCTGGCTGCGCTTAATGCAAATGTATAATTAAGCCTCTGCGCACAATTAATCGCAGTTGATGATTGCATTTCTGCTTTCACGACAAATTTCCCTCAATTGAACTACTACTATTACTTGCTAAAGGACTCAGTGGAAGCTGGTCAAAAGGATTCATTCTCACGTACTCCCCCCCTGCCTCCCAAAGTCACAATAGATTCAGATGTTTAACCAAGGACCAAGTAATGAATTCACTCCACCTCTAGTGTTTCACTGTACACTGACGCATACCACATATAAAACAACGCGCGAATCTTTCACACACACACACACAAACTGACCGAGAGACAGAAAAATGGTGAAGAAGACCGTGCTTATTGGTTACGATTGGAAACTTTCCCGTCTAAACAGTTGCGGTCCCGGGGAAACTAGGCATAAGTGAGCTTATTTGGCAGTCCGATGGCGCACTCACTGATTTACATTCAACAACATCGTCTTAAACGATAGACAGCGCATTGAACGGCACAGTTTAATTGGCCTTCACTGATATCAGTTTTGAAAATACTGTTTTCTCGTCACAAATTGGGTTGCATATGTCATAAGCATCGGTTTATGTAATGTATCTCCATGATTGTTTTGTCCCTGTACACGTGCAGTCCAGGTTATTTTATAGTTCATTGATTATTGCCATCGTGACATTAAGATGGCGCTGTAGCGAATAAAGCTTGTTTTCGATAACTTCCTCCTCTGGCTAATACAGTTATATTTAAGGTTCAAAATTATCAAATTAGTGTAATGGTCAGATTAATATGATTGGTTGATTGTGATCTTGTGATGTGTAGTTTGGAAATGTGAAGGCAGTGTTGTTGTTATTATTGTTGTGTGGTTCGGAAATGTTCACAGTTGGTGATTAGAGTAAGCTGTTTCATTTCCGGTCTGCGCTCCTTGGTCATGACAGTGGCTTCGGTCAGGTTGAGGCTAGGGTAAACGAAATGACTGGACGAATCGTTTTTGAGAACAAAGGGACGAATTGAGTAGGCGAATAGCCACCGCCTCGGCTGTAGTAAGGTGTTGTTGACAAACAGCTTTTGATGGTTTTGTTGGTACTTTGTAGATCACTTTGAAACCGTCATCGTTTTCTTGATGCCCCGTGTCTGCAAGGTGTTCTACCACTGCACTTGTAATCGTTTTCCTTAAGCCCGTACTCAGCCACGCCGGTTTGTGCTCCTTGATTTTTTGAGACACAAGAGCACAATCAACCAATCATATTTTATAGTCATGAAATTGATGAGACGAAGACCAGATTGCTAATTGTAGCGGACAAAACAAATCACGACAAAAACAAAGGGGTGGAATTAATTACCATAGTAACGCTATTCCGACCAGCCTTTCACGTTGTTTGTATAGATCAGGTTTATTTTGAACGACCAGAGTCTCAGTATGTTGCAGCAATTTTGTGTTTATTTTGTTGTAAATGAGTGAACTGGTTTGACAGTGTTTCTTCATATCGAAATTGCGTTATCGAAGATTTTAATCTTCTATGTCCAATTGATAAAGTAGCAGTTCCGAATTTGTCATTCATTGCTTTCTTGAGCCACACCGGGTTGTGTTCGATCTATCCGGTAACATAACTGCCTTTTTGATCTCTCCATGCAATTAGCTGAGCATCCACACTCGAATTGTTAAATACTGTTCAATTCGTTTGAGGGGCAGGGAGCTACCTTCTTCACCGAGGTCTCTAGTATCCGGGTTACGTTGAAGACAATATCCGTCTTGATTCGCATTCTGGTCTTCGTTTTAGGTTGCCTATTTCACCTTGATTACCGCGAAGTGATCATAGATGCGTTGCGCAACCCCATGTTTGTGACATCATTTTTGCCCTTAATTACTGCAACCAACAACAGTCGTCTGTCGGAAACGCATATTACTGGGGAAGTGGGCTATCTCGAAAGATTTAAGGGTCCGGAGCCGGATAATGATCTGGGATTAACTTTGGAGTCGATACAACTCACAACACTTCCATGGGAGAGTTGGAACTTTCTCGAGCAATGGTTCTGGTCGGTTTGTTTTACAGATTTGCAAGAAAACCATCTAGGAATTACTTTGATCAACATCATGTCAAGGTTTCTCGATGGCATTGCATGCTAACAATTGTTTGCTGCACACGTGAGAATTAGGCTAATTTTAGATCCGGTCGAGGATACATTATAGTATATTCACCCTTCAATCAATTCTTGAATACAGCAGTTTCTCACATAGACCCGCTAGTCCTAAAAGCGGTCGAAATGTTTTTTATGACCTCTCTTTTCAAGGGGTGTGCCCGAGTAATCAATCACAAGATAGTAACCGAAACCAGTGCACGGTATTACAAAGTTTATACTCGTGGATCTGAACTTTTAGCATAGGTTTATTATGATTTTCTCTCATCATCAATAGTCTACAGCTTTACCACAACCTGACACTATATGGTTCTGGAAATGGTTGACTGCTAACATTACTCAGATGATTACTCGAAACGCTTGCCTATCCTCGGTAAATGGTTTCTACTGAAGGGGATTGCATTTGATTAGTGGATCTGGTGCACAGTTCAACAAGTCGACTACTGGAGGGATTCTTCCGGTTTTGTGGCATTTGCTAGACACGTGATCTTTTCACCTTCACTTTTCCGGGATAGTTCTTCTTTTCGATGGTTGCTTGTTCATCCTCGCGTATAGTTTCTTTTTGGTTGGAGTAGGTTTTAGAAGAGCCGCAAACTGGACTGTATGAAACTGATTCATTTGACGACCAGCTAGCCTTGTTCAACCTCAGAAGACATTCCAAATGGGACGATTCTGTCCGGAGTCTGCTTGTTGCTTCAATAATGCAAAGTACCTTTATTTTACACTGTTGAGGTTAAAACTGAGTTATATTTTCTGTAAGCCAGTATGAAGATGAACAGGGGTAGTGGGTTGTTATAAGCTGGTAAAGGTAAACTGTGTTCTATCATTTATTGATGCAGTAAGTGCATTTCACCGACTGGTAAGCAAGTGAACGGTCTGGTTAATCTGTTTACATGACATCCAAAATTGGCTTCCTCTCACTGGGTTTGACGAAGATATCCTTCCAACCGCTGCACAATGCTTCTATTTCTCAATTATCGTACCCGATTCAAACGGACATGTGCACATGCGGTACAAATGCTGCCTAAGCCTGGTCGACAGGTGTCTGTCAGACCAGTTCCCCTTCGTCCGCGTTAGGCATGCGTTTGTGTGTTCCCAAGACCTTACAGACTGGTATCACACAAATGCACGCACATCACGCTGATTTTCCGCACCTCACCCGATCTGCTGTATCCAATCATCTCTCACCATAGAGTCTTTTCGCTACTCGATCACGTATGCCAGTTTAGTATCGTTCCCTGATTAGCTGCTCTCTTAGAGCATGGGTTTATCGGATAAAAGTTCTCCTGTACATGTGTATCTTTGTTCTTCCCATCATTTGTAGGATATATCCTTTATGAAGAATTTTATTCTGTTGTGTAATCAAACTTTCCGCTACTTCATTGCAAACTCGTAACCATCAGTAAAACACGGCGTCTCTTTACAGGTGTACCCAACGCTAAAATTTGCGACACATTACCAATTGATCATATCAGCATTTGTATGAACAGACACATAGAGGGATGCTTCTGCACTTTATTTTAAGAGCCTTGTGGTAAAACAATGAAAACTTTATCTAAAACCGTCTTGCATTAGCTTTGCCGTACGTGCTCGACTCAGTGCATCGGGCAAAGTGATTCCAGTGATCCATTCCATACTCCGTTGCTGTTGACCATCGACCAATACTGCCGTTGGTCCGTGGCACCTGTTGGCCGATGCCTGAGAACCACACACAGCACAAAAATGACGACGACACGTCATCCCGGTATTTGTTGTATAGAACTGAGGTGGCGGTGGATATGGTGATCCCCGAATTGCGGCTTGATCCTGCAACTTTTTGTAGACAACATTCATTTCACCTGAAAGAACGGTTGGACAATGAATAGAACAAGGACTATTCAAATTCGTGTTCTAACGGGCAAGCCTACGCATTCTTAATGTCAAAGCTATGGATTAGAGTGCATTGGGCAACTGATAGGCAGTTGATTCCATTATGCACAACAGGTTATGTTGAATCTGTTCACCAAGTATAAACACATCTATTTTGATGGGAGATCTTTTTCTGATCGCGCGACCCGGTGATAAAAGTCACCAAATTATCGCCCCGGAGGACGTGTATTCCAATTCCGCCGCCACCGCCTGACTTTCCCCATAATCTGTTCTATGGCGGATCTTTGACTAGCCTCTACCTCCGTGAAAATTGTACAGGTGTATTTGCAATAAAAGAAAATAAAAATGAAAAAGAAAGAAAAAGTACACGAACAATTGGAAAAATAACAAAACAATCCGTATTTGCCATTTTTACTCCCAAAGTTCTCTTCTTTTGGCTTTCCTATATATATATATATATATATAAGGTGAGTAGTGGATGATTTGGTTCAATTTGAAAGGTGAATTCGTCGTGTATA